TTATCACTTGCTAATCTCTTTTGCATACAACAGAAGCCCCCAGTCTTGTATGGCCTTGTTCGGTTGCTGTATACAAACACCGTATTACTAATAATCTTGTATATTGAAAAGTATGCTAGCGCGTTTTGGCTTCATATGTAAACAAGAATTATACCAAATAAAATAAGATTTGTAGTTTTGTGTTTTTATGTCCTTTTGTAGTGTGAGTGTGTGTGTGTGTGTGTGTGTGTGTGTGTGTGTTACGTGTTGAATGTGATAACAGTATTGAGATAGTGATAGAAAGAAATGATAGTGGCAGTGACGATGGTAATGGTATATGAGTAGTAGTAGTAATAGTAGTAGAAACGGTGATAGTGGTGATAATGGAAGTAGTCGTGGTGGTGATAGTGTTAATAGCAGTGGAATGTGGGGACAGTGATGGTGATAGTGAAGGTAGTTGTAGTGCTATTGATAAGTGTAGTAGTGTTACTAGTATAGTCGTAGTTGTAGAGATGGGTTGTAAAAGTATAGTGGTAATGTAGGGTGATCATCCAGGAGTGGGGAGGGGGGGGGTTTTAACTTTCGAACCCATTCCAGAACTTCGGAACCCTCCCAACCCCGAACCCCCCAAATCCCACCGAATCTCGAACCCACCCTCCACCGAACCCCGGAGGCTGGGAGGAAAGAGTGTTGACCAAAGAAAAGTTTACAAGTCCGTGGGCGTGGTATTCGATCCCCGGCACCGGTTATTGTGTCTTTGTGTAGTTGTGGGTTCAGCCACCGAGAGGGAAGAAAAATAATATTATAGGTCCCGTGGTCTGGAGTTTTCTGCTCTCGGGAGTGAAAAAGTACAGTGGAGGAAGTTATTGTGTGTGTGTGTGTGTGTTACTCTGTGTCTTCTGAAAAACTGAAAAGATAGATATCCCCTCTCTCTCTCTCTCTCTCTCTCTCTCTCTCTCACTCACTCACCATTCTTAGCATTATTGTAGGGGTATCGAGATATTAATGTTGTCTAGCACTCAGGATGGAAGGAAACTCTAATGTGGTTTTCTTATATAATATAAGTTATATGATTGACAGTCTGGTGCTGGAGGTGCCGTGTGGTGAGGAGCTGCTCAGTAGAGACGTTCGGTGAGTAGCGTGTTGTAGGAGGTAGATGTGCAGGAGCTTCGTTAGAGAAGATGTTGCCTGTTGCTGGCCTCCTGGTTGAATGAATGTTAACAGCGTGGAGCTTGCTGGAGGAGGTGTTGCTTGTTCAGGAAGATGGGCAGAATTAATCTCAATGGAGAGACAGAGCTTATATACCCAGCAGCCGCCAGTCCTCTATGAATCATGTTGGGAAAACCCAGAAAGTCGCCGGTGACTAGTTTCGTTGCTAAGATACGGTAACATCTGGTTGGTTGCTAAGGAGGCGGTAGCAGGTGGTGGCTGTGGCTACGCAGTTGTAGGAAGTTGTAGGGGAGACGTCCACTACAATACTCCCCCTTCCCTCCAGGCAGTGTAGGAGACTTGTTGTCTGTAGAGTTGCTTAGCACATGTGAGGCAGACCGGGCGGTGCATGCCTCATGTGAGACAACGGCGATGGCGTGAATGAGCCGATCGCTGAAATACAACTGTCTAGATACACACTATCTGTGGGAGAAGGGAGAAAAAGGGTGTGTGGAGGCGATGAATGTTGTGCTTCCCTCACGACAGGTACAGGGTCGTCAGATGCGCCTGCTGGGGTGTGTGTGGGCCTGGGTCAGGAGCAAGGGCTGTGTCAGCAGAAGCGGATTAGGGCTCGTGACAGCAGCTGAGTCCACGACAGCAGCAGGGTGCAGGACATTAGCAGGGAGTACCTGAGGGAGAAAAGAGGGGTGTGTGTGGGTCCGGATTCAGGAACAGAGGCCGCGTCAGGGGTTACTGCTGGGCCGGGGTCGGCGTCTGAGGCAGGACGGGTGTGCTGGGGTCGGTAGGATGTGGTGGTTGGGGCAGGAAGAGGAGCCGGTGTCTGCTTGAAGACTGGGAGCGTGATCAGTGTCTCCTCCATCCTGTGTGAGTGCTAATCTCCGGGAGTCACCATTGTAGGGGTATCGAGATATTAATGTTGTCTAGCACTCAGGATGGAAGGAAACTCTAATGTGGTTTTCTTATATAATATAAGTTATATGATAGACAGTCTGGTGCTGGAGGTGCCGTGTGGTGAGGAGCTGCTCAGTAGAGACATTCGGTGAGTAGCTTGTTGAAGGAGGTAGATGTGCAGGAGCTTCGTTAGAGAAGATGTTGCCTGTTGCTGGCCTCCTGGTTGAATGAATGTTAACAGCGTGGAGCTTGCTGGAGGAGGTGTTGCTTGTTCAGGAAGATGGGCAGAATGAATCTCAATGGAGAGACAGAGCTTATATACCCAGCAGCAGCCGCCAGTCCTCTATGAATCATGTTGGGAAAACCCAGAAAGTCGCCGGTGACTAGTTTCGTTGCTAAGATACGGTAACATCTGGTTGGTTGCTAGGGAGGCGGTAGCAGGTGGTGGCTGTGGCTACGCAGTTGTAGGAAGTTGTAGGGGAGACGTCCACTACATTATCATTCTTCCAATAGGAGTCTACATCATATTATCTCCATTAAGAAAAAATAATAATATTACCAATACTCTTTAAGAAAGGCAACATTACATAACGCCTTAATCACGTTAAAATGGCGTCGAAATTACAGAGAGACTCAACCATAGGGAGATTTGTTTTACCTCTTGTTTGTGTTGACGAAATTCACGAACGTTTCTGAGAATCCGGATCTTGGATATCTGAAGAACGATCGTTATCCCTTAAAGACGTCGAGTTGGGCGGCAAATATATTAAATTAAATAGATTTTTTAATGGTTTGTTTCTAAGCTTCTAAACCTTTATAAGACATGGAGATATTGACGTGTGTGTGTGTGTGTGTGTGACCAGTTTAGACTAATATGCGTGTACAATATTGTTTAATAAAATTTTATATGAATACTCTTGGCCCAATATGTGTATGCAAAACTGTGTATGAATTTATGTATAACTGATGAAAAAGTCTGTATGTACAAAGATATTTATGGATGTGAATACTGAATGGGTATTATGTATATACAGAATCGATTTATAAGTTTATGCTCTCAAGTACTTTACATATTATGCTGGTCAGGCTCACCGGTCTATAGTTGTTCTTGGAGTGACGATCGCCCTTCTTGAAGATAGGACTCACATAAGCCACTTTCCATTCACTGGGAACCTTTTGTTCATCCAGGCATTTACAAAACAGGATCTTCAGGGGCTCGGCAAGCTCGTTGCTCAACTCTGTTAGCACTCTAGGATGCACCATGTGAGGGCCGGAACTCTTATGGACCTTTTGCTTTGACAGTTTATTTCTAATACCCTCTTCTGTGAACACAATGTGGGTCAGTGCTGTGTCGAACCGTCTGTCCTCAAACGCAGGAAGGTTAATCGCATCCTCTCTTGTGAACACCCAGGAAAAGAAGCTGTTCATTACCTCAGCTTCATCCTGGTCAGAATCTGCGTAACTACCATCTTCAAGCATCAGGTCTGATACTCCTACTCGCGTTTTTAATTTCGAATTTGCGTAGCGGTAAAACGCCATTTGGGTTTGACTTGGCCTCGCTTGCAACCAGCCTCTGGAACTCCTTTTCAGCTCTTCTACACTCTATCTTCGCTTGGTTTCTGGCTCTTGCATACATCCTCCTGTCTTGCTCATCGTTTGACCCAACCCACGTCTTGAATTTCTGGGTTTTCTTCTTAACTTTGTCGACCGCCGCCTGGTTTATGTGTAGGGATCCCCCCGTATTCCTAGAAGCACTGGGTTTGGTCTTGGGTATATATTTATCGATCAAATGGATAACTTTACTAGTTATGATATTCAGCGTAGTGTCTGTGCTCTTGCGCCTTAGTGAGTCAGGCTAGTTGATACCCCTCATCTCTTCCCTCATCCCATCGTAATTTTCCTTGTAATATTTGCACCTTGGCCTGGCTTTATCATGAACTCGGTAACAGTTAAATCTGAATGACAACACTACTTGGTGACTGGTGCCAACTGGGGCTAGGTGTTCCAGTTTGGCCACCATACCCTCCTCGTTTGTTATGAGGAGGTCTAGTGGCTTGGGTGTTTGCTCCCCTCTGTAATGTGTCGGGTCATTAACGGTTGGAACAGAAAATTATCTCTCAGAGTTTCTACAAAAAGAGTAGCAGGGTTATTCAAGTCATTTGGGGTGAACTTGTTTCTCCAGTCGATGGCGCCAAAGTTAAAGTCTCCCGTGATAAGGAGGTGGGTAGGGTAGGGTTGAGCATCGCCGCGTTGTCTATTAAGGCTCTTAAGTCACTTTAATTTAGTGGGCTACAGTTTGGGGATCTGTAGATACACTGGACAATAAGTAAGTCCCCTCCCTTTGATTTAATTTTACACCACTTGGACTCTTCAAAAACATTCTCTCCCGTACCCTCGCCTGGCTGGCTCTTAGTTCTTGCCTAGCACAGATAACCACACCCCTCTTGCAAGTTTCTTGAGAAAGGTTCGTAAAATGAGTCATATCCAGTAATATTGAACTCTTGGTCTATTCTCCTGTTCTTGTACAACAGTTCTACAACTCCATTTTGGGCATCATGACGTTATAGGCCATGGTGCCTCTTGGTCGGTTTGTATTGTTTCCAGCATCTTTTTTCAACATTCCTCATTGAATCAGTATCACTGTGTGGTATATTCATGGCGTTCTGAACTATGTTTTCTTTTTAATTGATTACTCCCAAGTGGCCGCTAACTGAAGTGGATAATTTAAGATTATTTAAAAAACAAAAATGTTTGTCCTTGCAACTCCTCATTGCAGATGGATTTTTCTCCCACCACGTATAACAAGTGAACTTATAAACCTCAATTATTCGTCAACTTCAGCAATATTTTGATAAATAAATGAAATAAACTCGTCTATTAAATATAAATTAATACTGAACATATTATCTCTGCGAGTTGTTAAAGCATTAAAACAAATAACATGATATATTGACGTTGTGATGGTGTTGTCTGTACTGGGAAAAATTATCATCTCCTGTGAGTGCCGGGAGGAGGCAGCACCAGCGAGACCACTCCACCGGCGACCATACCTGACGGCTCTCAGCAACATCACTAACGTTTCAGGTGAGAAGATCTTACTTTATTGTTCTTGTTCGATTTCATGCACTGTAGATATGCAGTGGGGACTATGTAATGAGTGTAAAATATAGGTAAAGGGTAAATGGTCTGTGGGTAGTTGAAAAATATTGTATTGTGTCAATCAGCTGATCTGTGTGTACAACTGTAAATAAAAAATATTGTGTAAAAATCCACTCTGGTTATCTTATGAACCTAAAATGAATGACATTATCCTATAGACTATTATTTTCTGGTTTTAAATGATTGAAAAGTGTCGGTGAAATTTACTCCAAATGTCGTTATGTAACGTTTAACTACAGTGTTGTATTATCCTTGTGGAGAAGGATCTAGTAGGACCAGTGTGTGTGGACCATCGTATTATCCTTGTGGAGAAGGATCTAGTAGGACCAGTGTGTGTGGACCATCGTATTATCCTTGTGGAGAAGGATCTAGTAGGACCAGTGTGTGTGTGGACCATCGTATTATCCTTGTGGAGAAGGATCTAGTAGGACCAGTGTGTGTGGACCATCGTATTATCCTTGTGGAGAAGGATCTAGTAGGACCAGTGTGTGTGGACCATCGTATTATCCTTGTGGAGAAGGATCTAGTAGGACCAGTGTGTGTGGACCATCGTATTATCCTTGTGGAGAAGGATCTAGTAGGACCAGTGTGTGTGGACCATCGTATTATCCTTGTGGAGAAGGATCTAGTAGGACCAGTGTGTGTGGACCATCGTATTATCCTTGTGGAGAAGGATCTAGTAGGACCAGTGTGTGTGGACCATCGTATTATCCTTGTGGAGAAGGATCTAGTAGGACCAGTGTGTGTGGACCATCGTATTATCCTTGTGGAGAAGGATCTAGTAGGACCAGTGTGTGTGGACCATCGTATTATCCTTGTGGAGAAGGATCTAGTAGGACCAGTGTGTGTGGACCATCGTATTATCCTTGTGGAGAAGGATCTAGTAGGACCAGTGTGTGTGGACCATCGTATTATCCTTGTGGAGAAGGATCTAGTAGGGCCAGTGTGTGTGGACCATCGTATTATCCTTGTGGAGAAGGATCTAGTAGGACCAGTGTGTGTGGACCATCGATTATCCTTGTGGAGAAGGATCTAGTAGGACCAGTGTGTGTGGACCATCGTATTATCCTTGTGGAGAAGGATCTAGTCAGTGTGTGTGGACCATCGTTATCCTTGTGGAGAAGGATCTAGTAGGGCCAGTGTGTGTGGACCATCGTATTATCCTTGTGGAGAAGGATCTAGTAGGACCAGTGTGTGGACCATCGTATTATCCTTGTGGAGAAGGATCTAGTAGGACCAGTGTGTGTGGACCATCGTATTATCCTTGTGGAGAAGGATCTAGTAGGGCCAGTGTGTGTGGACCATCGTATTATCCTTGTGGAGAAGGATCTAGTAGGACCAGTGTGTGTGGACCATCGTGCTTACCGTACACTACAATAGGTAAAATTATGGTATTATTGCGTTTACACACCGTTCTATCATCATCTTCGAATAAGACGTCTAATTATAAGATAATTTTCATCTATTACATTGCCGGGGGAAATGTATAATAACGGTAATAGCTTATCCAAAATTTTCTCTTATTTTCTTCCATTAATCTTCCTCCATTATCGTCTGCCTCACCTCCAACACTGCTTGTCTCCTGCTTCTCCTTCATAAATTGAAACAGAATTGAATTGAAACAGTTTATTTAACCAGAAAAATACCGATACAGAGTGGATAATAATAACAATATTAACATGGCTGAGCCAGTTGAGAACCTGAGCTCTCTTTTAGGCACCTGATATATACTATACATTTATCTCAAGGAAGTATTAGGTAACATTTAGTATCATCTGGAATAGCACAGTAGCATGGTAGTAATAAGTACATCTCATAATGTTACCACGGTTATCACTTCAATATTTATTTATTTTATTTATTATTTTATATATATATATATATATATATATATATATATATATATATATATATATATATATATATATATATATATATATATATATATATATATATATATATATATATATATATATATAAATACATATATACATATATATATATATTTTACAGTGGAACTGAAAAACATAAGTATAATGGGGAGCAGTACAACCTGGGTTGTACAGTAATAAGGTTGAACAAGAGGACAGCGCAATGGTAATTACTTATTTATTTACATGATAATTTCCGCTAAAACGGTTTTGATGGTACAATAAAAGCAGGGACTGTAAATATAGCAAGTGTTACAAGAAATATTATTACTTCGACAATAGATATTTTTTAAGAGATGATTTAAAGGAAGGGAGCGTAGTCTTTGCTCAGATGTGTGGGGTAAGTTGCTCCACACCAATCAAAAGCATTTTTGTTTTTGCAATCAATCAAAATGATTTTCGGTTTAATTTGCGGTATATTTGGCCCAATCAAATTTGAGTTTTATTTTGGGTCATATTTCGAATTTCAAGTTCAGTTCCGACCATGGAAGTCTGCGATGGGTGTCACTTAAATTATATGGAGCTGATTGCGAGTTTTTTTGGAAGAAAAAAAGAAACTATAGCATTTTTTCGATCGCATGGTGTTCTTCCAACCTCAGTAAAGTATACTAAGAGCAAGACAATGTAAATATTGCAAAGACCAATAAGGTAAAAAATAGGTGATTCCATCATATGGTGAGAGTTAGATAGGTTAGGTTAGGTTTGGCTTTTGTTTTTCTAGTGTTTTTTTGTGTGTATTTTGCCATGATTTTTTTTTTCGGAAAACGTCCAACGAAAAAAAAAATTCGATAAAAAACCCCAGCTAATTTCCGCCAGAAATGATGGTCATATTCGGTCTAAACACTCCCAAATACACTAGAAAAATATATTTTTGGCTTTCTAACAGAACGGTGTGACAATGCAAATTTACCAAAATTATCGTTTCGGTCATCCACTTATTTGGAAGTCGAAATTATGTTTGGTTAATATTGACAACTGACCTGCGGACAAGTTATTTGTTTTATGGTTTATTTTCTTACTTTATTTTCATCATTGAGTTCTGATATGATAATCATTTCTTGTGCAAATGCTTCGTTTTGTAGATAATTAAGCACCTAGGTGCGCACTACTTTGTCTTCCCTGTGGTAATGCGGCCTCGCTCGCCTTTTATCCCTGCACCAGTTTTATTTTCAGCATGCTGTGTGAAGGTTGTTGCCAGTCTTGTGCTACAGTTCTAGTGCTTATAAAGGAACTTGGCATGAAAATGCCAAGATTAAACCCAGTAATGAAGTTTTATTTATAAACCTCTTTTTAAGAAAGTACTTTTCACAGCAATACTGTGAAATTGAAGTGGGTTTGTGTGCAAAGTCTGTTATATATGATGTATTTCAAAACACACTGCTGCTCGGGCTGGATCAAAGCCGATGCTCTTGCATTCACAAAAAAACGTAAAATTACACCATGTCAAAGTAAGTTCTTTCTGTTTAATATACGGGGGGGGGGGGATACCCCCAGTAAGGCAGTTAGGTTGGTGTGGTCTGTTTCTCATACCCACAAAGGTTAGGTTTAATTTAGAATTAACCATTTTTTAACACATTTGCACAAACTACAACAATGTCCACTATAAAAAAGTACAATTGAGGCATTTTTTAAATAATTTTCTATGAAAAGTCTACCACGGGTCAGTTGTCAATAATTACCTTATGGTTTTTGATGTTTCAAAAAATTCTGACCTTCATTTCTACTGCAAATCACGGGTGCCAGTGAATTCGGCCCTTGGTGACTTCGGCTCAGTGAACTCAGCCCAGTTACAGCAGTGATCTTGGCCCATTTCGGTAATCTCGGCCCACATCGAGGTCAACAATGATATTAACAGTCAAGATTTAAATATGAGCAATTTGATTCACAAATTTCAAAGTTTATTTGTTATAATATTTCATGTAGACCCACAATGGAAACGTGGACAGGATAAATCTCGATAAAATCACACAGGAAAGGGGAAACAATGGAGCATCTTAGCATTCATCTTTATTCAAGACATCTTCAGAGTATAAATTATATTGCATCTTGTAGTCAACACTATAACAAGGAGAATGGTACTGATAAAATTCATGTAAGTCTAAAAAATCATCCTCTTTCAGAGACTTTTCGAGACAGGTTGTAAAGCCTGATACGGTAACGGCTTTTGAAAACTACACACTCCCTGTACATATGAAAAAAAAATATTACATTACACAACCATCACTTCACTTCTCTAACACTGAAAATTAATTATTTCAGGGAGTAGAGTAAGCACTGTAATGCAAGAGTTGAGGCAGCCTGCACGGAGTTACGTAAATTTAAATGGACAGGCTCTCGCTAACAGCCTGACTGCTGAGATAATACTGCACAATTATGATTTTGTTCCTTCCCTTCCTATGGCCCTTGGGAGTTGCCAATTAGTTTTATTTGATAAAACTTACGTGCTACTATGATTCATCAAAATTTTACACAGTTTTGTTGAAAACTTAACTTTTGGTCAATTTTTTGAAGTTTTGACTCGATTTGTGAAGTTGGTCTTATTATGAATATGACACAAATTGCGTCATCATGCGCGAGAGGGTTAATATATCTAATAGTGTTTCCTAGTTGCAGTAATACCCTTTTGTGGTCTCTTACCACCACTCCTAGCACTTACACTTGATGGCCTCTTTCCACTCATATTGAATAAGAATGCACAGTACAATACCTGTAATACAGTCCAGATAAGAGGGGAATAGCTGAACATTGGCTGGAGATTCAAACAGACCAAAAGCATTGTTAAAAATCACTATACAAAATTTAAAAAAATTCTTAAGGGCGAGTTTCTTCTGTGGCCCGAAATTTTGGTAATTTCAAAATTCCATAAGGGCTAAATTCCGTAACCAGGCATTCTATAATATGGGGGATTCTTGTATTTACTGTATGGGATATTGTTGTTTTGTATGGGCAGGGTTCAAACATTTTTACATTTATCTATATTGTTTTACATCACATTATTCTTTATGTATGGGGTATTATTATTCTACAACAGACCAGAATTTGAGAGGGTTAAGAGACCTCAGTGTTTTTGATGTATGTATGTATCTGTCTCTACAGTATTGGAATTCTAAACATATTTGATTTACCTACAGGATGATTGTGGCCAGGCTTATTCCCGAGGTGAAGGCCCTTCAGACAGCAGTGCGTCGTAATTATGGAGCATCTGCTGTACTCCTAAAGAAAGCCTCTGACCCCATCCAGCAGCTCTTTTTGGACAAGATTCAAGATTACACCAAGAAAAGCTCGTATGTAATCAGTTGAATTTGATTACTAGCTAGATATTATCCGATGGCCATTGTGGATAGTGTTTGAAGAGTTTTGGGGGGGCATGGAAAATAATATATCTTATCTGTTGCATTTTATCCATAACTCAGAGCAATGAAGTTCTGGGCAAGTTTTCTATAATTACAATATTGGCTCTCTGTCTGCCCCACTTCATCATGGCATTGATTCGGCAAAAGTATTTACAGTACAGGGGCCGGATACTCAAAAACATTTATGAGACTGTATGTCGTTGTGTACCCCGTAACTGGACTTACAGTCTCAGATTGGCATACTCAAAACACAGATGCTCAAAACAAATATTTGTCATCGAACTCCGTAAGTTAAAGCGCGTAACTTACACCAGCTCCTGAGGTTGTGTAACACTCTCAACCCGAATGTAGTAGTGACTAATTCCCTATTGTATAAAAAATAATAATAATATATGTTGTAATAATGCTTGTTAGACTTGTTTTATCATAGAATAATGAAGAAAATGTTTTGTACATCAACATACTGAAATATAATATTTCACTTTGTCTTTTTCGTAACTTTTTTGTTGCCATAATAAGAGGCTTGAGTGTTTGTATTGGTCTCAGTTTGGAAGAGACGCATCTTTTGTCTTCTTACAAATTATAAAGTATTTCTTACCAAAACAGAAGGTTTGTATTGTTCACACTTAGGGTAAAAATATGTTTTATGGCTGAGTAAGCTTGCAGAGAGAACTTATTAATGTTGTATAGCCATAAATATCCCTCAGTAATGAAAGCCAAATATGAGGTCAAGTGAACATTCCTGCCAAGACTTCGCCATGTTTTTCTAATATTCAACCAATAGCCTTAGCATATTTTCTTATGTATATGGCTTATGATAACATGAAAGGCTATAAATTTCCATAGGCTAGCCAAAATTAAATGATATTAGGCGTAAATATGGATTGCAATTAACTTGATTAATAGGTGCCTATATAACTGCTTTTTCAGTCTTAGGCAAATAAATGTTTAAACGTGGGGCCTACTTAATTTAGTTAGAACATGAGGAATATTTAAATACGAAATTATACCAATAGGTTATAGGTTAGATAGGTTTGGTCATGTTATGGCATGTTAGGTTAGAGAATGTGTACAGTCGGCCCTAACATATGCGGGGGTTACGTAACGGAGATAGCCGTGGATGTTAAAAATCCGCGTATATGTGCTCCCCAAACCCTGGCTTCCATGTCTTTATTTACCGTATATACCTGTGTGTAGTTCGAGTTTTTAAGACCAAATTATTTGGCAAAAATTGGGGGTCGACCTCTAAAAGGGTAATAGTTTCGTTAGGTTGAAAAATATTTACCAGTAACTACCAGTAAACAATGGAAACGACGCACCAACGCACCACCAGCTGTGAGTGTCGGTACAGTTGGTTGCCAGGGCACATCTCTTGCGTCATCATAGCAAGCCCAAAGTAGCCAAATCCATGGTATGGTAGCACAGGACCATGTAAAACAAAGTATTCATTTATTAAAGTTTATTTATAGATACTGGACATAAATTTTTTTTCATTACATTTGAAACATCAATCTTTGTTAATTAAATTTGAAACAAAAGAAAACTACGATACGGTATTTTCAATAAAATATTACATCACAAGTATATTTTACCTTAACTGTGACTGAATGAATATACGTATTCTCAGAAATAAATATAGAAATGTAATATTTTTGCTGGAATGATGTACGTATTACAGTGGAAAGTGGGATAAAATTGTGACGAAAGCAAATGACTTTCGCTTTCTTTCGTTATTCAAAAGATTTTACTGTAATCGCTTTTCGAATGGTTTTCAGTTAAAAAACTGTTGTACTCGTACTGTATTACAATAATATTTTATCCTATCATTAGCCTTATAATCCCACAACTGAAAAGAAAGAAAGAAAGAAAGTCATTGCTTTCGTCACAATTTTATCCCACTTTCCACTGTAATACGTACATCATTTCAGCAAAAATATTACATTTCCATGTTCTCAGAAATAAATGGTAGTTTTGTTGAAACGTAATGTACAGTATTTAATATTAAAATGCAAAAATAGCTATAAAAACAATTAATACACCCGTAATGTACTGGCTGGCATCTCGTCCTTGCTCCCGCGTCCAAGGTCACCACTCCTCCCAACTCGCTCCCTCTGCCTCCTCCACCTCCTCACCGTCGCTACTGCCGACAACAAACACAAATGTTTTGTGAATAACTGCACCTCCACTTCCTATGTACAGTACTGAACTGTACTGTGCTGTGCATTTTTACAAACAATAAACATGGCAAGAAAAGCTAATAAAAAAAAAGAGATACAAATTTCACTTTAATGTACAGTTCCTATCCTTGGCGACAGGACGGGGGTCCTCGGGCTCATCGTCACTCAATTCCATAATGGGTGGTGAAGTGGGGGCGACGGTGGATTCAGCTGCTTCCTCACTGCCGCCAGTGATTGATGGTGTTAAATCTCTCCTTCGGTGATCAAAGAACATGGTGATGGGGAGTTGTCGTCTTTTTCATTCATTTCTTCCATGATGTTTTTGTATGGAGCGAAAACGTCATCCATCCCTCGCATGAATTTCAGGGCACGCACCATGGAGGGGTCCATACTATAGCCCAGGTTTTTCAGTGCCTCAATATTCCTGGTCATCTCCCCCAACTTCTCCAACGTTATTTCTTGGTGCTCTTCCTCTTCCTCATCCTCTTTCCCTTTCGCTTCCTCTTCCTTGCCTGAGTCTACTAACTCCTGTAGATCCTCCTCGGTCAGCTCAGTGTCTTGCTCTTCAATTAGCTCCCTAATCTCGTCCTCTGCCATGTCCTGGAAGCCTTCAGCAGCCACTTTCCTTGACAGTGCCAGGGTCTTTCTGAATATTTTCATTAAAATCCATCAAAATCATTTTCCTTGTCATCGTCTTAAGCACCAAACAGCACCTCCCAGTCTTCTTCTTGAACAGGGCTAGAGGGTACGTGTTTTTCGAATCGTTTTCAATTAAAAAAATGTTACAGCACATGTATATTTTACCTAAACTGTGCCTGAATGAATATATTCTCAGAAATAAATAGTAGTTTTGCTGAAACGTGATGTATTTCAATGTAAAATAGGATAAAATACATGACAAAAATAAGACTTTACCTAACCTTCCAATGTTCAAGAGATGTTACTCGTTTTTTAATAGTTTTCGGTTAAAATACTGTTATATTACAATGATATTATATTCATACTGTGCTTGATATACTACATTCACGGAAATGTAATATTTTTGCTGAAATGACGTACGTATTACAGTGGAAAGTGGGATAAAATCGTGATGAAAACAATGACTTTCGCTTTCTTTCGTTCAAAAGATGTTACCGTAATCGCTTTTCGAATGGTTTTCAGTTAAAAAAACTGTTGCATCACAAGTGAATTAGGATAGAATATTATTGTAATACTGTACAACAGTTTTTTAACTGAAAACCATTCGAAAAGCGATTACGGTAACATCTTTTGAATGAAAGTAAGCGAGTCATTGCTTTCGTCACTTCCCACTGTAATACGTACGTCATTTCAGCAAAATATTACATTAACACATTCTCAGAAATAAATAGTAGTTTTACTGAAACGTACTGCATTTCAATGTAAATTTGGATAAACTACATGAAAACAAAAGACTTTACCTAACCTTCCGATGTTCAAGATATGTTAATCGTTTTTTTAGTAGTTTTCGGTTAAAATACTCTTATATTAGTGATATTCTATTCATACTGTGCTTGATATAATACATTCATGGAAATGTAATATTTTTGCAACTACAATGCTGATGTCAACACAAGCGTGGTTACAGCGAGACTGACTGAGTGAGGGAGAGCTATGCGTGTGTGTGTGTGAGGTTGCGGGAGCGGGCGGTGTCCCGTGTTCGGTGCCGCGCGCGAGTTGAATGGCGCGCGATTTGAATGTACTTCAATTACTTCAATGTACAGAATATTCCTCCGTCGGGGCAATCCGCGTATTTGCAAATCCGTGTATTATAAACCCGCGTATGTTAAGGGCCGACTGTACATGGTTTTTTGGTGAGTGTCAGGCCATCAGTGAGACACTTTGTCTAGCAGCTACCTTAGGCCTAGTTCCAGACTTTCCTTGAACATTATCATAGGTAGAGTATTAATTTAAGAAAATTTACGGCTAATCCGATATATTTTCAGGTTTTAAATTGTTGTTTTTTGTATGAACTTGAAGACAATTCAGACCAAATGTCCCCAACATTGAAAGGAAAACACCAGGGTCTAGGCTAAATGAGTAATTTAAGAGAAGTGATTTGTCATTTAGGTTTGGCAAGGCTATGCTATCAATAACCAATTTATTTGAATTTGCCCAGAATTGCGTATACTTCAGCCTCGCTGAAATTAGGCCGTCTCTTCTTTGCTGGTGGTCCTTCCATGTTTACAAAATAATATTATGTGCGTCGCTCTCAGCTGATTTCTCCTTCTCTTGTGATTGGTTGATGATTTTGTTAACTGAGCACTGATTGGCCAACTAGCTCCTGCACTGACATCTACCTTCCGACAAGAGAACTTAATTTACAGGGTAAACACTAGTTATGAAAACTTACGAAAGGCTTACGGAACTGTAATTTAATTTTGAGTATGCTAAATTTACGGTACTGTAAAGATTCGACAATATATGGTACTGTATTATGCTAAAAGACGTAACTTATGAGGTGTTTTGAGTATCCGGCTCCAGGTGTACAGTATGTGTTAGGCTCAAAGAATGAATTCGCTCATTGAGTGAAAAGAAAAATAGCCACAACGCATTGTTGACACAAAATTAACCAGAGAGCAAACTTTTGCTACAGGATTGGTCAGGTTAATTTCAAGAATGTCCAAAAAGCGTTGTGGCTGTTGGGGATAACCCACGACACTAAATTTTGCACTCGGGTTATCTAGGGTCCCCAACGCTTTGTGGTCGTTTTTCTTTTCACTCAATGAGCGAATTCATTATTTGAGCCTAACATATACATAATTACCCAGTAGTCTTCATAAGTACAGTATAGAAAATATTTTTTGTGTAAAGAATAAGGTTCTTCCAGTAAATTTATACATGGGAGAAAGTAGGAATAGGAGGATAGGAAAACGTATTGAATGTTGCACAAAAGGGAAAAAATTACAATACAGTACAGTATACAGAATTGAGCAAGTTATTTTTATCAGTTGGAGTTCAAAATCAATAGTCTCAGGAAGTGGAGTGTACAGTGGTCCCTCGGTTAACGAACACAATTCGTTCCAGAAGGTCGTTCGTTAACCGAAACTTGTTTAAATGGAATTTTGGGTAATTGGTTCCAGCTCACCGAAAATTACATACAAACTAAAAACAAATGCAGTAAAGTACACTTACTTTGAGGAGTGCATGTAGAAGGCTCCTGGTTGATGATGATGGGAATTAGAATGGGGGTGGAGGAGAAGGGAGAAGAGAAGGCATTGGGGTGGAAGAGAAGTCACCCCCATCCTGCCATTTCACCATAAAATTTTAGTTCACTTGGTGTAATTCAAGATTATTTTCTTTAAATGAACACTGCACTGCATTATATATTGTCAATATGTAAAATAAACTTCAGAATGACCAATAATTGTACTGTAAAAATGTAAAAATAGTTTATGTTCAAGAGAGTCTCAAGCAAGAAGCTTCCTCCACTGAGCAGGGACACACACACTGACTTCATTTTGGGTGTGTTGAGTGGCTGTTTGGCGTGCAAAAAAATAGTTCCCTGTACTTCAGTTATGTTAAATAATTGTTAAAATGACTAAAAACTTTAATATAAGACTTGGAAAATTATTGAGTAGTACAACCTTCTTGACATTTACTCAAATGGTAACCAATTTAAGCCCTAAAGCCCATTACAGTGGTCCCTCTGTTAACGAGCGCCTCGGTTAACGAGATTTCGGTTAACTATTTACCTTCCATAAGATTCTTAACTTCGGTTAACGAGTAATCACTCGATTAACGAGTTATTTACAAGCCGACTTCAACATGTTTTCGCTTGCATTTGGCGGTCCACCAGCTGTAGTATTAGTCTGCCAATACAGTAATCGGTTTTAGGGCTTAAATTCCTTACTATTTTAGTAAATATCAAGAAGTTTATACTATTCAATAATTTTAAAAGTTTAATATTAACTTTTTTAGTCATTTTAACAATTATTGAACATAATTGAAGGTAAAGAAACTAGTTTCTGGCGTGCCATCCAGCCTGTTACACACCAGACAGGCGTTAGTCTCTCTCTGTTTTCAGTGGAGGTAACATCTTGCTTGAGACTCTCTTCAACTAAACGCTTTTTTTCTGTGTTTCCAAGCAAATTATTGGTCATTTTGAAATATATTTTACATACTGATAATATATAATGCAGTGCAGTGTTGATTTAAAGAAAATAATCTTGAAATACACCAAGAGAACTAAAATTTTATGGGTGAAATGGTGCCATGGGGTGACTTCTCTTCCACCCCAATGCCTTCTCTTCTTCCTTCTCCTCCACCCCTATTCTAATTCTCATCATCATCATCATCATCATCCAGGAGCCTTCTACATACACACCTCAAAGTAAGTGTGCTTTTCTACCTTTTTTGTTGAATTTAGGCAATTTTCGGTGAGCTGGAACCAATTACCCAAAAACCCATTGAAACAATGGTTTCGGTTAACGAGTTTTTCGGTTAATGAGCAACCTGCTGGAACGGATTGTGCTCGTTAACCGAGGGACCACTGTACTGTATTGGCGGACTAATACTACAGCTGGTGAGCAGGCGAAAACATGTTGGGAAAAATTCGTAAGGAATTCGTTAACCGAAATTTTTTCGTTAACCGTAGTGAAGAATCTTATGGAAGGCAATTCGTTAACCGAGGCGTTCGTTTACTGAGGGATCACCGTGCAGTAGTTGGAAATGTGGCCAAAGAGACCATTTAGGGGAAGAACAATTCTTTGGCTCCTTCCCTGGGAGCATTGCCAGAAGTTACAAAGGCTACCTCCAACATAATTCTTGTGGTGCTAGCACTGTGCTGTACTGTACTCTGCAATTTTGTATGGCATGGTTGTAAGATTTGCCATTTTTGCAGTGGCGTAAGTTAATTGTTACCCATCCCTTTTATCTTTGACATTTGGTTGGTAGTGACTGATTAAATTAATTTATGCAACTAAAGTTTTGCTCCCTTATTCCTCTGCTATAATACCTCTGCTGCCTGGACCAATTTGTGCAGAAACAGGTCCTTTCATATGAAAGTTCTGGTGAACTGGTCTGGGTTTTTTCCCAGGTGGGGAAAAATAAAGAAAATTATAGGCAGTCCCCAGTTTATGAAGGTCTGAAGCTTCAAGCTTTCATCCTATGTTTTGATTTACTGTACATAGAAAAAATCATAAAAAAAAAAAAAGAAGTCCCTCCACCCACCCACCCCTTTTCGGCATCAGATGCTGATACAAGTATCTCGGGCTTCCTGTACTTGCTCGACCTGGTCAATTTATAAAGACATTTAAGCTAAAAATAAATACTTGGCTGTATTAATAATAGTGGTTAAGTAAGCTGAAATTAGAATACAGGTTGACAATCCCTTATCCGAAATCCTTGGGACCAGATGCATTTCGGTTTTTGGAATTTTTCGGATTTCAGAATGTTTTTTATATACAGAGATCAGCCCACCCGGGCACAGCAGGTCACTGACTCACATTGGGGCCTGGGGGCTAAAATATAATTATATTAATAATTATAATAATAATAATAATAATACTGTAATAATTCATAGGTCTAGGTCATGTTTCTCACTTTTGATCTTTTTTCATTCTTGTATTTCTTTATTATTATTATTACCTGTATTATTATAATTATTATTACTATTACATTTTCACCCCCAGGCCCCGATGTAGGTCAGTGACATGTGCCCGGGTGGGCTAATACCCCCCACAAAAAAAAAATTGCTCTACAAAAAAAATTTCGGTTTTCGGAATTTCGGATAAAGGGTCGTCAACCTGTACTGTACGTGTAGTGTTTTACCATAGTGATCATGGCTCACACAGGATTACTACTGGAAGCAGTGGCAAGACACCCACTCAGGATATTTTGACTGTGGGAACATTGATGTGTTTTGTTCCCAGAGTTTGATCTGATGTTTATGAAAACAATAAAATGTTAAATGGTTACATTTAGCATTTCTTCTTCAGATAAAACCTCTTCAAAAATCAAGTCCAGTAAAAAAATTAATCTCCCAAAATATCTTCGCTGTACAATACTGTTTGTACAGTGCACTAGACTTACTGTTGGTGCATAACTACGAAATTAAAATTACATGTCTTGGCCCCACAACTTCACACTGCATCACAACCAGTGGCTTTTCAGTAACTTCTGTGTACTCCACTACATGTCTTTTACTTTGTATGTTTATAATTGGCTTTATAGTCATTGTGTAGACCAAAATTTTTCATAAGTTTTTTTTATTTTAGCATTTTAAGACCTTTTTCCAAAAGTGTTTCTCATATTTTATAATGGGAGACTATGGGAAAATGTGATTGATTTTGAAAGGGTTTTCAGGAATGGAACCATTTCATAAATCGGGGAATGCCTGTACAGCATATATTTTTATGTGCTTGTGTCTATACTTTAGACTACTACTGTATTGTGAAAACTGAAATTTACCCCAACTTGTATCACAACATTTAGATTAAAGCATTAAGAATTCATTGTAAATAATGGGATATTAAGGAAACATGAGAATGCTCTGAAACACATCGTGATATAATAGCAAAAAAAATGTAAGGGAGAGAGAATCCGATGGTCACTCCTCCATCAATCAATCACATGGCTTGGAGCTAATTGTGTGATTTGGAGGATTAGATTAAATTTATTGTGGATGGATGTACAGGAATTACTTTGTTCAGTACCAAATCCCTCAAAATTTCAGCTTTATTTATTTATTAAAAAAAAAAAAAAAAAAAACCCCACCCACCCAAAAAATTTTCTTGTCTAGCAAGGAGAGGGATTGAATGTACAGTATGTTACAGTACAAGAATGACTTTGTTACTTTAAAATTAGGGCCTCTTTTAAGATTAATTAAGGCCTCAATCAAATGACATTTGTTCATGAGAGTTCTGTATGTAGTGGAGGATCTGAAATCGTCTGGATGATTGAAAGTTGCATTTTCTCTTTGTTAGCTTTGTTATTTATTTTTGAAATACCCTGTTCTACAGTACATTAATTTGTTCTTTGACTCATGACAATTTTATAATTCCTTTCCAGGGCTGCTGGTGGTAAACTAGTAGATGCAACCCCAGATATTGAGAGGCAGCTACAGCAGGAGCTAGATAAAGTTGCTCGTCAGTATGGTGGTGGTCCAGGGGTAGATATGACCAAATTCCCTGAATTCAAGTTTGAAGGTAAGTTTTATGGGTTTGAAGAATACATACAGTACTGTATTTATTCATTTGTAAGCTTGCTATGTTTGAAGATGGCTCTAAGGTAAGATCATGTATTATTTAGATACAGTTCAATACTTTTTGAAGTGGTACTTGCAGTGTGTATTACAGTATATGGTGATTTGTGTTCTTGTAGCTATGTAGTTCAGTTAAGCCAGCCACTGGAGAAATGCCTTTAAAAGTCAGTTCATTAGTTTTAACAAAGGAAAATTGTGTGTAAATTAACATTAGTTTTAACAAGGGAAAATTGTGTGTAAATTAACCCTTTGGATGCATATATAGTTTCCAGGTCACATTCCAAAGGAGTCAGTTCTCCAGCATATGAAAATAATCATTTTTTTTTACCAATTCATCAAGACAAAACCATAGAGTTTATATATCTGGCATTGATATTTCTTAAAAACATCATCTGACAGCAGGAGAAAATAAATAATTATTAATGGATTCCTTATTTTTAGTTATGCAAATTGGCCAAAAATATAAAGGATGTTGTAGGAATTCGTGGTATAATGTTGTCTAGCACTCAGGATGGATGGAAACTCTAAGGTGGTTTTCTTGTATAATATAAGTTATATGATAGACAGTCTGGTGCTGGAGGTGCCGTGTGGTGAGGAGCTGCTCAGTAGAGACGTTCGGTGAGTAGCGTGTTGTAGGAGGTAGATGTGCAGGAGCTTCGTTAGAGAAGATGTTGCCTGTTGCTGGCCTCCTGGTTGAATGAATGCTGACAGCGTGGAGCTTGCTGGAGGAGGTGTTGCTTGTTCAAGAAGAAAGACCAGAATGAATCTCAATGGAGAGACAGAGCTTATATACCCAGCAGCCGTGAGTCCTCTATGAGTCATGTTGGGAAAACCCGAGAAAGTCGCCGGTCTTTGGTTCGTTGCTAGGGAAGGTGGTAACATCTGGTGACGCCGCTCGTTTGGTTGCTAGGATACGGTAGCATCGGAATGCGGATACGCAGTTGTAGGGGAGAAGTCCACTATAATACTCCCCCTTCCCTCCAGGCGGTGTAGGAGACTTGTTGTCTGTAGAGTTGCTTAGCACATGCGAGCCAGACCGGGCGGTGCATGCCTCATGTGAGACAACGGCGATGGCGTGAATGAGCCGATCGCTGAAATACAACTGTCTAGATACACACTATCTGTGGGAGAAGGGAGAAAAAGGGTGTGTGGAGGCAATGAATGTTGTGCTTCCCTCATGACAGGTACAGGGTAGTCAGATGCGCCTGCTGGGGTGTGTGTGGGCCTGGGTCAGGAGCAAGGACTGCGTCAGCAGAAGCGGATGAGGGCTCGTGACAGCAGCTGGGTCCACGACAGCAGCAGGGTGCAGGACATTAGCAGGGAGTACCTGAGGGAGAAAAGAGGGTGTGTGGAGGCGATGAATGTTGTGCTTCCCTCACGACAGGTACAGGGTCGTCAGATGCGCCTGCTGGGGTGTGTGTGTGGGCCTGGGTCAGGAGCAGGGGCTGCGTCAGCAGAAGCGGATTAGGGCTCGTGACAGCAGCTGGGTCCACGACAGCAGCAGGGTGCAGGACATTAGCAGGGAGTACCTGAGGGAGAAAAGAGGGGTGTGTGTGTGGGTCCGCACTCAGGAACAGAGGCCGCGTCAGGGGCGGCAGGGGTTACTGCTGGGCCGGGGTCGGCGTCTGAGGCAGGACGGGTGTTCTGGGGTCGGTAGGATGTGGTGCTTGGGGCAGGAAGAGGAGCCGGTGTCTGCTTGAAGACTGGGAGCGTGATCAGTGTCTCCTCCATCCTGTGTGAGTGCTAATCTCCGGGAGTCACCAGTTGTAGGGGTATCGAGATATAATGTTGTCTAGCACTCAGGATGGATGGAAACTCTAATGTGGTTTTCTTGTATAATATAAGTTATATGATAGACAGTCTGGTGCTGCCGTGTGGTGAGGGGCTGCTCAGTAGAGACGTTCGGTGAGTAGCGTGTTGAAGGAGGTAGATGTGCAGGAGCTTCGTTAGAGATGATGTTGCCTGTTGCTGGCCTCCTGGTTGAATGAATGCTGGACAGCGTGGAGCTTGCTGGAGGAGGTGTTGCTTGTTCAAGAAGAAAGACCAGAATGAATCTCAATGGAGAGACAGAGCTTATATACCCAGCAGCCGTGAGTCCTCTATGAGTCATGTTGGGAAAACCCGAGAAAGTCACCGGTCTTTGGTTCGTTGCTAGGGAAGGTGGTAACATCTGGTGACGCCGCTCGTTTGGTTGCTAGGATACGGTAGCATCGGAATGCGGATACGCAGTTGTAGGGGAGAAGTCCACTACAATGTTGTAAAATAGAAAATAAAATACTCTGGCATATCCCATATTCTTTGAGTTTGGGTAAAGCAAACTAAACTGTATAAATACTCAATTACATTTTTACTATGATGTAAGAAAAATATTGGGAAGTAAAATACTAGTGAGAAAAAAATTACCAGTTTAAATGTATGCTTTGCAGCCACAACCCTGCCAACTTGCAAACAAATGTCAGAAACATTGTGTATTATCATAAAGTAACCTTATTTATGCATTATGATAAATATCACAACTTACAAAGTATTCCTTGATATTATAACATCCATAATGTATCCAGTGGCGGCTCGTGACTAATTCGTGGGGGTGCTGCTTCAAAACATTTTTAAGAATTGTTTTACTATTGTGTAAGACACACACTCACAGAAATACAGTAGGTATATATACTGTATATATAATGATAAAAATAATAAAATACTAAAAGTATGGTAAAAATAAAAAATAAAAACATTTAACACTTACAGATAAAATACTCCAGTCTAGCTTGATCCAAATTTATTTAAAAATAAAATCCATTCTTCTTGTTTTCTTTTGAGCAAAAAGGTCAACAATTTTCTCATTGATGTTTGGATGACTGTTAAAGAAAATTTTCTCCGTTGAAATCATTGCAAGTGCATTTAGCCTTTCCTGATTCATAGTGCTCCTCAGAAAAGTTTTTATTCTTTTTAATGTTGAAAAGCAGCGTTCAGGCTCTGATGTAGCCATAGGAATTGTCAAGAGGATTTTTATCAGTTTCGTAATCTCACTAAGAACACCATCTAAATTATTTTCCAAGATAAATTTCAGCAGGTTAATTAACCTGCAATATTCATGCATATCGGACCTACTGTAGAATACTCTTGAGTTCAGTTACAAATTTGTCTTTGTCAATCATGGGATATGCTTGAGTGGTCAATCCTATCTCTTCTGTAGGCAGTTTATTCTTAAAACTTTTGAAACTTTTCTTGTTGAATAATTTAGCAGCTACTAATTGTTTAGTGAAAGAATATCTCTCCACTATATCAACACATATGCAGTCACATACTTCTTTTGCTTCAGCCATGAGTGTCTTTGAAGGATTCTCTCAGTACTTCGAGTTTCTTATTTCTAAAATAGCAACTTTGAAATTTGTTATATATTCATGAACTTTAAACACATCAATTTCTCGAGACTGCATTTGGTTGTAAATTACTTCAACATGAGGCATGATCTGATGAAAAAGCTCCAACCAGAACATGAATTTTTCATTATTCAGGTAGTGCAAAATTCCTGTTGCTTCTGAAATGGTTCGATCTGCATTTACCGTCGACTGGATTTCAGCAAGGCAGCTTTTTAAAGGTTGCAAATTTTCATGAACTTTGTTCACGGTTCATATGTTAAAGTTCCACCTTGTAGAGGATGAGCGTGGAATGCTGATGTTCATATGCTTATTGAGAATGGATACACGTTGTGGTGATCTTGAGAAAAATTTTGGTGTAGCCAAAACGTTAGAGAAAAATATTCTTGAGTCCCGTGTAATACTTGCTGCATTTCTCATCAGATTCAGTTGGTGCGCATAACAGTGAATGAAATGTGCATTATTATAAATGCTTTTATTTTTGCCTGAATGCCCCCCTTTTTGCCTTTCATGACATTTGCAGCATCAAATGTCCGAGCTATCAGTTTTTGTCTATTTCCTTGAAGGATTATATCTAACTGCTCTAGAATACATTTTGATATGCCATCTGCAGTTTAATTTTCTGGAATAAAGAATCCCCCAAAACACTCATATATTTCTTCATTCAGCACGTACCGTAGAACAATTACCATTTGAGTGTGTTCTGAAACATCTGTTGTGTCATCAGCCATGACAGCTACAAATGAAGCTTCTTTAATCTCTTTCTTTATCTCATCATGGTATATCTGCAGCAGGCAGTCAAGCACAGTCGGCCCTTAACATACGCGGGGGTTAGGTAACAGAGATACCCGTGAATGTTAAAAATCCGTGTACTTTTGCTGCCCCCCCCCCCAAAAAAAAAACCCTGGCCCCCCATGTCCTTATTTACCGTATATACCTGTGCGTAGTTCGAGTTTTTAAGACCAAATTATTTTGCAAAAAAATTGGGGGTCGACCTCTAAAAGGGTGATAGTTTCGTTAGGTTGAAAAATATTTACCAGTAAACAATGGAAACGACGCACCAACGCACCACTAGCTGTGAGTATCGGGACAGTCGCCAGGGCAGTCTCTTGCGTCATCATAGCGAGCCCAAAGTAGCCAAATCCATGGTATGGTATACACAGGACGATGTAAAACAAAGTATTCATTTGTTCAAATTTATTTATAGATACTGTACATAAATTTTTGTTCATTACATTTGAAACATCAATCTTTGTTAATTAAATTTGATACAAAAGAAAACTACGAAACCGTATTTTCATTAAAATATTACATCACAAGTATATTTTACCTTAACTGTGACTGAATGAATATATTCTCAGAAATAAATATGGAAATGTAATATTTTGGCTGAAATGACGTACATATTAATGTACAGTGGAAAGTGGGATAAAATTATGAAAACAATGACTTTCGCTTTCTTTCGTTGTTCAAAAGATTTTACCGTAATCGCTTTTCAAATGGTTTTCAGTTAAAAAACTGTTGTACTGTACTCGTACTGTATTACAATAATATTCTATCCTATCAT